TATTACATGGAGGGGTATAAGCTGAATGCCAGCGAGGAAGGTTTCGGTAATGGTCTTGAGATTTAAGTTCGTAGTTTCGCAAGCACAATTTATTTCTTTTACAATTAACATTCACTGGCCGAATCGAGCTACAAAACAATTTAGGATGTTGCTTCCTCTGAATTCCAGAAAAGAGTGTCCTCCTAGAAAACTTTCCTGTCCTTTAGTTATAGGACTTCCCCCCTTAACTTTCACAAAAAAAATGATGTATTTGGGCAGTAATGATGCCCTAGCTCACGTGGACCATTAAAAAACCCTTTAGCCGGCGGGTGCCCCCTGCAAGAATTTTGGGGGTCACACGGTGCCATAATTCTTTCCTTTACAGTCATTGCTTGTGCAACTTTCTTTTCTTTTCTTTTTTAAGTGTCAGTAAGCCTTCTGCACTGAATACAGAGCACCTACCCTGGCCTGAAAAGGACGCACTTGCCTAACAAGTGAAACGCGTAAATCTTTATTACTTGTTTCCAATTTATTTTTATTTGCGCCTCACCGGGACTCGAACCTAGAACGCGCGGTCACAAGGGGAAGGCTAGGAGCGAGTCATTTGTACGATAGTATAATGCTGACTGCACCGAGGAGCTTATCGGACTGAACGCCCAAACAAAATAAATACTCTGACCTTGCCACCTCAGGTACCCAGACTAGGCGCGTCCGCCAGCTCCGCTAGCTTGACCGGCCAAAAACTACTGATACGACTATACGAGGCTGTTCCTATCATTACTTAAATATACCTTCACACCTTTACATTCAGAATTAAACATTAAATACCCCACAAAGAAACAAACAACAAATACATAAATAAAAGTTATCAAATTATAATGGGGGGGGGGGGGGAAGCTCACAACTGCCCTTTTTCTTAAGTTACATTGACTGTATTTAGATAATTTTCGTTAAAGGAAGTTTTAGGGTACGTCCACTACATCAATGTTTCAACCCATTGCTTGTTTCTGCATTATCTGAAAGACAAAGTGAGGTTTAATGACAGTATATGGTACACTTTTTCAACAAATAAGTACAGATATTTTGCCTCTTCAGTGTGTGTGTTCAAAACCAAACAGTTAGTATTCTTATTATTTCATGCTGTGCTAGGATATGCCAAGTGAGGTTATGTTTATTTAATTCAGAAAATGTACCACCGCAGATGCCAAAAGGAAAGGTGCAGCAGTGAGTTTGTAACTGGTTATGTTTATTTTATCTAGGTACTGGAATATGGAAACCAAGAATGCAAAGGAAAAGAATAGGAAACCTGAGCTGTTGCACGTAATTGTGAAGACCTTCCGCCGGCTGTACTTCTGTGTTGGGCTCTTCCAACTTATCTTCTGTGTTGTATTCAAGTTAGTAAATGTGATCAGTTAACAGTTATAAGATTATGACTTTCTTTGAGATTGGTGTTTATTGTGGTTTTGTAACATATTCAGCTCACTTTACACAGATTTGTGAATGAATTACCTTAACATGATCATTTTATTTATTGGGCATGAAAGAATAAACAAGAAAACAAATGTGTCATTTGTTAACAAAAATCATAAAAAGTGTTTCCTGTAATGCCAAATGCATGTCAGGCACTTAAGAACCCACGCTAGCAAATAACAGTCAAGAATTCTGTATAAATGTCAGAGGCCCCAAGTTCTTGATAGATCAGATAATTTATTAAGAGAACACTGAAGGGTTTCTTGGTGTATGCTCACCCCTTCACGATACCACACTAGGAGTAAGTATAAGTGACGCTAGAGATTACTGGTGTTCTGCTCAATATGAAAATTTGTCCTCAAGATATGAATGAATATTGTGCACTTAATAGGATACAATACACACATTGTTTCAATTTGCTCTTGCATTAATTTTAAAAGCCCATAGAATATTTTTCACAAAATTTTAATATGTTCCTCTGAAACCCTTAGAACTACATACAATCCTCAGTTTCATTGCTGTAAAAACCTCAAATCTCATACACTTTCCTACATCATTTTTACATTTTGTTACAGTATGCCAGTGATATGTAATATTCATAATATTTTTTATTTCAGGGTAGCTCAACCAGTTTTCTTGGGAAAATTGATCCTTTTCTTCAACAAGAACACACCAGTAACCAAGAATGAAGCTTATATGTATGCAGGAGCACTCATCCTCAGTACCATCTGCTCCATGATTTTGATTCATCATTCTTTCTTGGCTTGCCAGAAGATTGGTATGAGAGTACGAGTCGCGTGCTGCTCGCTCATTTATCGCAAGGTGTGCTTTCATTTTATATTCTCGGATTTAATGATTCCTATTCTGTTTATGAGAAACCTTGAGAGCAATGAAAAGTTCTGCTATTGATTGCTAGTCAATAAGTGGAAAGTCTAAGGGCAGGTGGTGTTCCTTTTGTATTCTTTCTTCTTCTTTTGTAATCAATCCTAGGATTGGTTGGCAGCAGCTCTTTTTTTAGCTGCTGAAATCCTCAGGATCTTTAATGCAGTGGATTCCCCTTGCCTTCTGCATCCTATGCCGTTGACCCATCCGGTTCAACCGCCTTTAGGGATGATTTCTCACCCCAAGGGCATGAGAGTGCCCTGAACCTCCACCCGCTCATCCACTGTTGGCACTTGGTAGAGGGGGACCACTTATACAGGTGGTCGTTTGTGGACGCAGTTTAACACGTTATACCCAGGATGACCTTTTGTATTATGTAATGTTTATTGCACCATGACTCAGTTTTTAATGTCTTACGTCTTTAAATGGGGCATGCCATATGAAGCTGGAAACATTTGGATATTTCAGTAGGACAGACACTCCACTGCTCCCTTATTCTTTATTGAGACCCGATTTACCTTTATTTTAAGTTTTTAAAGACTATAATAAGATAATTTACTTGATTAGAATATTATACAAAATCTATAAAACTAAAGTGTTTGTTAAGAATGGATTTAGACACCCCTGGATGGAAGGAGATTAACAGAGGTGTAAGACAAGACTGATGTCCTGCCGTTAATATTTTATATATACTTGTATGAATAAAATTCTGCCACATGACAGAAGTGTTTCAATTTTAGATATATTGAGTTCATACAAGTAAGTTTAGATATGAACTGCAATAATTTATGCATAATTTAAATAATATTTTACCAGAATATTTAGTGAAGATAAACGCTGAAAGAACACGTAGTTAAGGTAGTCAGTGGGAAAGAATCAGTCAGAAGTATATTAAAGTAAAATTTGTATCATCAAGAAAATCAGGAAGAAGTTAACCTTTGAGCTGTGTCATGTACATAGCTTCATGCATGTGTTGTTACAGTTTCATTTTTCTAGGACATTTATATTAAATTATAAATCTTTGGAAAAGTTCATTGTCTGACTGGTGCATTACATTATGGTCAGGGCCTGATCCTACTGTAGAAACTCTTGAACTAAATGCATTGGATTAATGTAACTGGACTTTAGTGATGTTTAAGAGGACTGGTGGTGGTGAAAACTGCTATAGGTAGAACTAAAAACCACAACTCTGCCATTTGTTTGACCTGAAACCATTCACATCTTAAAGTGCACAGCCAGAATTGTATGATTAGTCTGGCTAATAATTATTAGTGATTCCATATAATAACATTAACATAAATAATTTCACAGATCCTGCGACTAAGTAAATCAGCCCAAGGACAGACAGCAGCTGGCCAAGTAGTAAATTTGCTTTCCAATGATGTGAACCGTTTTGACTTTGTCACCATGTGGCTTCATTTTATATGGATTATGCCAATCCAAACAGTTGTTATCACTTACTTCATATGGGAAGCCGTTGGTTGGTCAGCTCTCATTGGTGTCCTTGCCATATTCCTTCAGACTGTCCCTGTACAAAGTAAGTTCTTCAGACTTTGTATTCTTCTCAAGATCTAATTATGCTGGAAATTTCAAGAATGATACTGTGCACTTAGCATATGAAATGCTCTTTCCTGTGAACAATGATCGCAAGGTTAATTTTTATTATTATCAGGTCTGTCTATGATTAATTTTTTTAATTTCATCTCAGCTTTTTGAATGATTTGCATCTTGTTTGGCAGAAATTTATTAAACTATTTTTGATGTATCTGAATTATGAATGTTGATGCACAGGTTACTTGAGTAAGCTGACATCAAAGCTGCGCTTGAAGATTGCTGTACGTACTGATGAACGTGTTCGACTTATGAGTGAGATTATTTCTGGAATTCAGGTGATTAAGATGTATGCATGGGAGAAACCTTTTGAGAAGATGGTCCAGATTGCTAGAAGGTGACTAATTTGTGATTACTGTACTGTGTTTTGTTTAGGCTCCAGATGGGACAGTTGCAGAGGGTGACATGTAATGGCTGCATTATGAACATGGGTGTTTGTGGATTATATGTACTTGAATTGGAGTGGAGGAGACATATGTCTTCTGTGTAGACTGGAGGGTACTGTAGTAGAGAAAGGTGGTTGCAAACTCAAGCACAAAATATTTTCCTAGAGTATTTCCAAGAACCATGGCTTTTCATTTCTCTATCTTTGATCAAGATGTCAGTTGCATCATCATGAAACAACATTTGTGTGGGAAGTTGTGCCTTCTAGTTTCCATGTGTATGTCTTCACTGTTAGATTTTTAAAGTATATATCCCTTTCATGAAACAAGGTTTGAAGTACTTGACAATAATTTGTGTTGTGTATAATCTTCAATTTTTTGTGTAAGTGTGCGTTATGTTTCCTCTTTGTGTTAACTGGCTATTACATTTTTCTTTTCTTTGTATTCTTTGTCTGCTTGTAGCATGATGACGACTAAAACATATTCTTTTATTCCTCTACTTTTTAACTGTTTGTTTTCTTGTATTTAACAATTTCTGTGCTCAGTAGTATTTATGCTTGAATGTATTCTATTAATTCAGTTACTGGATTGTGCATGTTCTGTAAATAAATACATCTGTATACTATTATTTTATGCTTGTTTCTGTTTTTAGTCAAATGAGTTACTGTGTGACATTGTTTGTGTATTCATTTTTAAACTTTATACTCACTAAATACAAATTTCAATTCATGAAAAAAATTAATGTAGTCGTGGAGATGAGAATAAATTTTTGGATGATAATACTGAATGTACAAAGTATATCAGCTTAAAAAAACTATAAAAAAGGACTAGTTATAATTTTTGTTTCTATAATTGTTTAGAAATGCCTCATTTCTGATCACAATTATCCAATGTTTTAAGCATGTTAAGTGGTTTGTGTGCTGACAGATGATTTAGTCAACATGTTTATGACAGAAAAAAATTATTCTTTCATGTAGCAGTTATTCCGTTCTTATGATTAACTGTTAATAATTTTACTGTACTGTTGGCAGGCATGAAATCAAAGTTGTGACCAGTGCTTCCTATTTGCGTGGCTTGTTCCTGTCCACAATGGTTTTTTCAGAGCGTACATCACTTTTCATCACCCTTCTTTCTTACTCACTCATGGGGCACCATATTTCTGCTGACAAGGTAATTACCTCATACAGTCCTCTGTAGTATTGTGCTCAACATACTGAAATTTGTCAGTGATGTTTGACTATCTTGTGTGGTATCAATGTATGCCATGTAATACTGACAAAGTGGTATCAGACATATGCATTGTCCTTAAAATGCATAAGAAAACTAGTAGTTGTAAACAGCATACATATTTTTGATATGCTTTACAACCACAAGATGTCAGTCCACTTTATTTTTAATAACATTGCAGTTACTAGCTTTGATATTAGTATTTTAAAAAGATGACTTCTCTTACAGTTGTTTCCTCTTGTCCTGTGTCTGTTATTTCAGGATCAATTTTAGACTACAGCTATGCTCTTGAGTTTGCTGTCTCTTTGAAATATTGGTAACAGTTGACTTACTTGATTTTGAAAGATATTCACATGAGCCCTATTTGCATCTGGTAGTTACACATCTCAGGAATAGAATTCTGTAGCTGCCTCTTTCATGAGTGTGGCTGGTCTATCTACTTTACCTGCATTGGAGTATTGTTCCAGTATGCACTGTATAAATTATTCAGAGTACACTCATTTACACAAACACTAAAGCTTTTATATGAGTAGACAATGAAGTCAGCAGAATGATCATTTTTTACATTAAAAGTAGGAATCATTAACATTGTGTGTATTTTCACAGGTGTTTGCCATGGCACAATTCTACAACATCCTGCAGTTATCAATGGCTATCTTCTATCCACAGGCAGTACAGCTTGCAGCTGAGACAAAAGTCTCCATAAAGAGGCTTGAGGTACACAAGCATAAATCATTAATGGTGATGGATAGATAGTAATAATCCTGTTAAATGTTATTGTTATTTGCAGTGAAAACTATATTTTGTGTAACATAGCTTAATTAAATTTATTGTCCCTCCAAATCATGCACCAAAATAATGAACTAAATTCATGGAGCAGAGTGCTTCTTGGAAAGACAATAGCATTCTCAGGTAGTCAAGGAATTCCATACTTTTTATGGAACCCGAAGGTTTGTTGCCATGTTCACAAGAGTCTGCCAATGGTACATATCCTGAACAAGATTAATCCAGTCTACACCTACAAAAATCGTATTTCTCCAGGATTCGTTTTAATATTGTCCTTCCATCTACACATAAGTCTTCCAAACAGTCTTCTCCCTTCAGGCATTTTAGCCAAAATTCTGTATGCATTTATCATGTCTTCTATGTTCACTATATGCCCTTCCAATCTCATCCTCCTCGATTGCTTCTCCCAAATAATATTTGATGAAGAGTAAAGTCTATGGAGCTTACAAGTTCGTATTTCTCTTCAGCCTCCCATTGTTTCATTCCTCTTAGGTCAAAATATTCACCTAGAATCTTCCATTGAACGGTTGAGAAAAATCTGTTTTATTATACAAATGTAAAGTCAGTACACACAAAATATTATATTCCTTCTCCTCTTATACTAAAATTGCTTGTATCACCAGACTATAAATGATGATGTAAATATTACTTTTATGAAGGTTTAGAGGGAGACTGAAGGAACTAAAATTACATATCCATATTGTAGAAGTAAAGTCAGCCTCATTATTAGAAAATATGCTAAGAAATTACTAGCATCATTGAAAACTGATAAAAAATCTGAAGTTATTATGATGACTATATACATTGAAGTCTTTGAATGGATGTTGGTATGCAATTAAACTCTGATGTTAATGAAGACTGTCTATGCCTCCATCATTAGAGACTAAAGTGTTGAATAACACAAATTAGCTGACACACACAGATATGTATTTGTGTATGTGCACACATATGTGACAGCTCTGAAGGTCAGAAATTTTATTCAGTATTTGATGAACATATATGCCCCCCCCCCAAAAAAAAAAAAAAAAAAAAAAAAAAAGAATGAATGAAAGAAAATTGATACAGCACTTTATATGTATTGTTTTCTGTGCCAAATTACTATTCCAAACTAAAGCATAAGAGCTTGCAGTTGAACCATATGAATGTGAATTTACTTTGTTATTAATATCTTGTGATGTAATATAATCCAGAATTTCCTGCTTCTTGAAGAGATGGAGAGTGTGTATCATGGGAATAGCAAGAGGGCTTCTATAAACCATGCACAAGACCAGAAGCTGGGGGTCACTATTAAAAATGGTTGTGCCAAGTGGACACCCAATTCCATAGTTGATACCCTAACCAACATCAGTCTGCAGGTGAAGCCAGGCAAGTTCTGCGCTGTTATAGGGCCTGTTGGCTCTGGAAAGGTAAGTCCAAGACTGGAATTTTTCAACCTTTTGGACCAAAGCATGATTACACATTCACAAGACCATAAAGCTACACAAATAATGGCAGGATTACAAGTTTAACTTTAAACTATTTCATGCTGTGGTATAAAAACTGAAAAGAATACATCCAAAGAATGAACTTCTTTGTAAAACATAAATAAAAGCAGCCACAAAGAAGGACCTGCAATGAAATGGAATGATTCTGTTATCTAATAGGACATCTAGAAATGACAAAATTTATCAAACACTACACTGAAAAATAACCATCAGATTAAAACAATTACTAAAGCTAAAAGCTATCCTTGTTAGAAGCCCAAGGTATTTAAATTCCTGTAGGGTCATTATCGTGGGTGCTTCTTTATTTTAGATTTTAGAATAAGTCACTCTAGGTTGTACAACATTATTCTCATTATTACCTTTTCCAAAACATTTCCAATTAGTTTAGAAATTATATACATTGACAAAACAGTTCATTATCCTCAAAATATATTGATGGTACATATACTGCAGATTTTCAGAGGCTTAAAAATATACTTGTTTTTATTAAAAGTTCTACTTACTTATTTACTGTAATGAAGCACATTATGGTAATGACAGAGTGTGTACTTTATTGTCAGTTTAAGTGAGAAATGATCTCTTACTAACAGTGCCAAACTGACAGTACCCCTTGCACTCATTTTCTGAGTGTTAATTGAATGGACATACTGTTGGTTGTGTAAAAGTTTCTGAGACTGAAGAGCTTCTCAGGAAGGAACACAATTGCTAAAAGAAGTTTTGTGTTCTGAAATGTTTTCACTTGTTTTGTTTTGTTTGTTACGAGAAATTTTGAAAATTTCTATTATTTTTTAAAATGTATTTCAGAATAGTTTCTTTTATAAAACATTGATACATCATTGATGATTTATGGAATATGACATTTCACAATCAATAACCATTCAATTAAAAATAAAATAATTTGTCTTATGTGTACCTCTTAAGATTCATTAATGTTTTTAACAGTTCTTTAATCTGATACACTCTTCAGGAGTAGTACAGACTGTTGTTTTGTATTGAGCTTGGAAGATGTTGAAAATTAAATATTCTAGTAATTTTTCATAAAATGTCTTTGCCAGAAAATGCGTTTTTTTGGCACATCAATATTTCTGCCCCTCTCACTGTATATTTAAGGCTGAGCACATTGGCTAATCAAGTACATACTTTTATTGCTTTGTAGAGTTCATTGCTGCAGACAGTACTGGGGGAGTTGCCACTGTCAAATGGGTCAGTCGTAGTGGGTGGTGATGTTGCGTATTGCTCACAAGAGCCATGGCTATTTGTTGGAACAGTGAGGCAGAACATCTTGTTTGGACAACCATACAATGCAGATAGGTACAAAGAAGTGATACAAGTTTGTGCTCTGAAGAGAGATCTGGAACTGTTCCCACATGGGGATAAAACTGTTGTTGGAGAGAGAGGAATATCTCTTAGTGGTGGTCAGAGAGCTCGCATCAACTTGGCCAGGTTTGTTGAGTTTTGTATAAGAAGTAAGATGTTTTCTTAGACAACAATATGGCACTGAATATTTTTTGTTTTGTAATAGGATCTCCAGATATAAAAGTACAGCCATTTATCACAAAGTTTACAAATTTCAGTCAATTCAGAATAAGTAGACATACTAAGAAAAATTAAAGATTCACTGACATGAATATGTGTTATTTTATTATGACAATAAGGTTTCTTTGACAGTATCAAAGACTACAAACAAAAATCCACTGGGAAGATCTCTAATTCATTGCAAGTGATGGAGGGTACACAAAATTGATTAAATATATAAGGGGAGGGTATAAAAAAGATACAGAGGAATGGAAAAAAATTTGATGTAAGTCAAGCTGTGTTAGTGGGTTATGATGGTAATATCTACAGAACAAGAAATTACTGGAATGTGAGAAAACAAAATAGCTTTGTGGGAAATTTATTATCACTTACATTTTAAATCCCTAATGTTAACATGACATTTGCTTTGAGAAAACCACAAAGTCTTCCTGACAGATACTGTCAAGAAATTCTTAGTATCCAAAGGTCAGTATGAAAAATATTTTGGTTTGATGTCTGATGTGCTACTACAGAGGTCCATGCCCTGTGAACATGAATACACTCAATAAAAAATAAAACATCTGTGCAAATATGGATATATACTCATGTTTATATGTTTACTGTTAGAGGCATTTATTTAAATATTTAAATTTGTCTGCAAGTTTTATTGACATTTTGTTGGTATTTCACCTCTGAACTATGGTCAAGTAGCTTGTGTAAGAATCTACTTTCCTTACAGAGCTGTCTGGAGAGGGAGAAAAATAACTTATGTCCCCCTCCCCATATCATCATTTTTATATTTTTCTCCAACTTCTCTGTATTTCAGAATTTACAGATCACTATATAGTATAGACTCATTATATTTAAACAGAGATACAATTATAGTGTAATTTCTCACACAAATTAAGATTGATTTTTCCCACACAGAGCAGTGTACCGGAGCACTGATGTATACCTCCTAGATGACCCACTTTCAGCTGTAGACACACATGTGGGCCGACATTTGTTTGATAAATGCATTTCCACATTCCTTGCCAACAAAACACGGATTCTAGTCACACATCAACTTCAGTACCTTCGTGATGCAGATTTGATTGTCATTCTCAACAACGTAAGTATTTTAATGGATAAATATAATTAAGTATAGCTGGGGGTTCGTCGTGCTGACCACATGTCACCCTATATCTGGTTGGATGATCGTTCATCTCTGCTTAGGCATGTGAACGTGAGACCAGCAGTCAGCTAGTCGGCTTTGGCTCTCAGAGGACTGTTACACCACGGATTATTTTATTATTATTGCTGTTGTAATGATTTTTTAATTTCTTTTGTGTTCTAGAATGGATTGAGGGATATACAAATTTCTGCTTCACAGAATTTATTACTTTACAGAATTACTTGCAGCAAGTCTTTCCAGTAATGCTTCCATTGCTTTACCATTTGTAATTAACTACAAAACTATTCTCTGAAGTTTTCTTTATAAATGGCATACAGAATATTCACTGTCATTGTTTTTGTGATGTCTCTGGTTGCAGAAATTAGAGTACAACTTCTTGGTTCTTGCTGAATGTCATTATTATGAACTTGTTTGAAAGTAGTAAGAAATCTTAATCTCTTGGTTTTGTACTAATGATGGTAAATTGCTCTTAATAAATCAATAGAATGGGCCAGTGAGTGTTGTAACACCCTGACTGCTGTATGTTGAAGGTGGTATTGTAATACTGAGATTTCTTTGTATCGCAATAGATTGGACACCACTTTATACACTTCTAATATCTTGACTCTAATTTTAGGGTAAAATTGAAACCCAAGGAACGTACAAGGAACTGGTGGCTTCTCAAATGGATTTTGCTCGTCTTTTGACTGGGGGGGATGAAGAAGCAGAGAATAAGGGTACTCTGAGGAAATTAAGTACTCAGCTGTCTGTTCAAGTAAGTTTTGGTTCTGCAGAAACTTTTTTATTTTGCAACAATTATTTAGGGCACTAGTTCTTCACTGTTTGCCCATGAATCTAGAGGCATGTACTAATACTGGTATGAATGACTGAATTTTGATTATATTTTTATACAAATTTTTATTAAGTTTGATAACTAGTATAGGGGTTTAAATCACCTTTCCCTATACAGTAATGGTGATAAAAAATACACAAAAAAGTGATAGCTAACATCTGTAAATAGCATTGTGCCCTGTGTGGATTACGCATGTGAGGAAGGAGCAGCTGTAGTAGATTAACATTTAATGTTGACATAGAGAAGTATATAATAGTTACATAACAGTACTTAATTTGACTGATATTTAGACCTTTCCCTTCCTATATTAGTAACTTTTCCTTAGAAAGTCCTGCCTTTTGTATTGAGAGATAACATCTTTGCTGACCTTAATAATTCATCTGAAAGCCAGTAATGCTCATGTATTGCAGCCACTCTCTGAGGAGGATGAAGATGGATCTGTAGATGCTGATGAGAATGCTGAGCTGATTGCCAAAGGAAAAATGAAGACTTCTGTCTTCCTTAAGTATTTCCAGTCTGGTGCATCATTCTTCACACTCATCCTTCTGGTTCTCATCCTTTTTGTTGGACAGATGGCATCCAGTGGAGCAGATTTCTGGGTTACATACTGGTGAATAATGCACACTGATGTCTATTCACTGAAATGAGACAGTGAATGTAAACACAGAAGCGCATGTGATCATCACATGATCTCTTGTTATGTGGGTTCTGTTGGTACTTTAACCATTGGATTATGTGATCCATATGTGCTTAACTACAGGATTATTCATGTGCCTCTGCTTATGATATGTGGTCCCATTACAGTAAATGAAAGTAACTACTTCAAAACAGTGAAGTCATAACATAAAAACATTTATATATACTATGTAGAGTTCTTGTCCCCATACTTTCACATTGGTTGGCTTTTGGCTGTCACCTAAAAGACAAAATTAAATGTATAGAGTTTATTAAAAGAAGTCTGTACCTACAACTTTGTAGATTTACAGCAGTATGAAACAAAACCCAAATCTTACACATTTAGGAAAGGGACTAATTGTGGGTACAAAATAATAATGTGGAAATGAGAATTTTTATGGCTTCATTTTTATAGGTTTCCATAGTGATATAAATAGTCACACCAAAGTCAAATTTAATTTACAGTATGAAACATACATTAAGGAGAAATATATTAGAAACATTTCTGTTGATCATGTTAATTTATGCTATATATTACATGTGTTTACAAAATGTTTATTGTAAATTTGGAAGATGATAAAGTAACTTAAAATTCAGTGACTTCTTGTTACAAATTATTTTACTGTATTCTGTTGTCATGCTTTACAATGTAATGCCTAAGTCAGTTATTGCAACTATCTAAGGACCAGTACTTGGATCACAGGTTTAAAACTATACTCATTGATATTTTGAATATGATGTCCAAGGGTATTATGATTGTTATACAGAAAAGTGTTGGGCATATAGAAAATGTAAGTTCAGTTTTAATTGTAACATAGCCCTTTGTTTTAGATTAAAATGGCAAATAATAATTTATAGGTTCTTCGTATTTGTTACAGGACAAACCAAGAAGAGTTACGGCGGTACTATGATGATAAGGCTATGCAAGAAGATACATTGAACTCCACTGACAATCTCATGCAGAATGTTGGGCTCAATACCACATTTATTGATCAGCCTACAGAACACAGTCAATTCACAGAATTTCCATTATCAAATTTCACAGACAGTAATTCTCTGTCTTCAAATTTCACAACATTACTACCCTTCCTGTCTGATAAAGGAGAAGCATCATTAAATTCCACAATACCAAAATTGTTAGACACAGACACAGCCATCTATATCTACACTACATTTATCTTGGGAAGTGTATTTATTACTTCAATACGCTCCATATTCTTCTTTAAAGTGTGTATGACAGCATCTAAAATTCTTCATGACAACATGTTTCGATGCATTTTGGCTGCAACAATGAGATTTTTTGACACCAATCCTTCAGGTAAATCAGTTATTATAATGCAAGATGTTTTATAGTTACTGAGAACATTCATAATTTTTATTCTTTCACCAGATATTGTTAGCTTGATCAATCAGTGGGGATGACCTAGGCAGAACATGTAACTCTCATAGAAAAGATGACAAATGCATGCAAAATTTTAGTCAGAAAGACCTGAAGGAAAGAGACTACTTGGAAGTCCTAGGTATAGATGGGAGGTTATTAAATGTAGCTTTAGGAAATAGGATGTAAGGGTGTGGACTAAACTCATCTGGATCAGGAAAAGGTCTAGTGGTTCACTGTGTGAACATCGTTTTGAAACTCTGGATTCTAAAAGTGGCAGGGGATTCTGTTACCAACTGTGGAATTATTAATATCTAAAAAAGGAATCAGCCACAGAGAATGAGTTTGTCTCCTTTTTCATTTCTCAACTTTTCAGTCCAAATTAAAGCAGTGTGCACTACAATAAGATGACCAGGGATGGCTGTTGTAAGTTCCACATATATCATAGTTATTTAACTAGTAAAAGATTGTGACAGACAAAAGGAGAGAGAGTGAATGCTGATCAGTTATAAAAATTACCATATCCCAAAGAAAAAAGATATTTAGGGAAAATCCTTAAAAATAAGAACAACATAAAACCACTAAGTTAACATGAAGTTAAGAAAAGTAGTGTATTTGTATGTAGCATTTCTTGGAAACTTTTTAAAATAAGAATAAAATCTGAACAAACACATTATGAGATGCTTCACAACAGTACTATAAGATTGCTGTACAAGGTGGTAGATGGATATAAGAACATTATTACAGTACTTTATTTTCAGGTCGTGTACTTAACAGATTTTCCAAGGACATGGGTGCAGTGGATGAGCAACTTCCAAAGGCGATGTTAGAGTGCATTCAGGTATAAAATCTGCCAACCTCTCAACATGAAACTTGCAGGAAATGTTAATATGACAAAAAATATTCTCTTTCTTTTCAATATGGCAGTGAATTAAACAAATGCACTTTAAGGTTAGGTTTAGTTCATAATGTACGTGACTGTTGCAGGTGCTACTGGTGATGACTGGAATTCTGACCATGGTAATCATAGTCAATTATTGGCTCCTAATACCTTTGGTTATAATGGGTTTCCTCTTCTACAAGGTGCGTGGGATATATGTGGCAACAGCACAAGATATTAAACGGCTTGAAGGCACCAGTAAGTCACTGTAAAGGTTTCAGAAAAAGTCATTCAGGTCATATAAGGAAACAGAGCTTATGATGTTATGTCGATGTGTGTATATGTATGCTCAGCGAATTAAAAAATATTTTTTCTACTGAATGTTACCACATGCCTAAAGTTAAAGTAAAGTTGTCTCTGGTGCTTAATTAAACATCACACATGCAGGCATGTTGGGGATTGGAGGTATAGGTCTGTGCATACTAAATGGAGGTTAGTCCACATTTTTTAATATTCCACAATCAGTTATCCCATATTGTTCTTATGTCAGTTCTGAAGTAATAGCCTTAATGACTTTTTAATGTAAAATTAATAACGTTATATTATGAGAATAGTGGATTTAAAATTCTTTTAATTCTTTTGTTGGTATTATGATTAATGGTTTTTGCAGCAATATAATAATGTTATGTTTTTGCAGCTCGGAGTCCAGTGTTTTCTCATGTGTCTGCGTCTCTCAATGGTCTGTCCACAATCCGAGCATCCGAAGCTCAGGAAATGGTTTGTAAAGAATTTGACAGTCACCAGGTAAGCAAAGTGAAAGACCATTTAATTGTCAGAGGATAGAAATAATTTTGTGAAATAGATCATGTTTTATATTATTGTTATGTTTTAAACAAAAAGTTATTGGTTTCTAGTTAGTTTATCGGTTTTTCATTGCACAGATAATTGTAAGTTTATGGACCAAGCTTTTCATCAACAGCATAGTTATGGTTTTTCTTATGGTCTTTTATCTGTCGTGATGGCTGGAGCTAAAGATTGCACATTCCCATTACTAACTGGTGTATATGATACTCTGCACATATAAATACTGTAATATAATTGTGAAATCAGTATGTAATTATTATTAGTCATGTTCCAGCATATAAATGCTAAATGAAATTAAAGAAGAAAAAGTGTTCAGTGAAAACCAAAGAAATAAAACAAACTCATTGTAGGACAAAAGTTCTTTATAAATTGCAAGAGATGTCTTCACTGACATAGAATACCAGTACAAGAATTCTGTGTGTTTCACAAATAGATAGATTCTCCTTTATGTGAATCTGGTATAATCATATAAAATGTGCATACAGACAACTGTTTGCACTAGTAGGATATTAATGCCAAGTGCGTTTCGACCTCAAGAGGTCATCATCAATGGCACAAAAAATGCAAGTTCTTTATAAAACCATATACCTTCACGATCTACTAAAACATGATCGTTTCATTTATATTATATGAATTAACCTTTTTGGTGCCACTGATGATGACCTGTCGAGGTCGAAATGAGTTTGGCATTAATATCCTACTAGTGTAAACAGTTGTTTGTATGCACATTTTATATTCCAATACACTACACAGTATGAAAGGTTTTAAGATTGGTATAATCAACTCTTTTCCCTCATTCCAGGATTTGCATACATCAGCATGGTTTCTTACACTTGAGACAAGCACTGCATTTGGCTTCTGGCTTGATTGCATCAGCGTGGCATTCACGGCTGTAGTGTCACTCAGTTTCCTGGTTCTCAACATTGGTATTGCAGTTTCTACAATTTGCACCATAATTAACCCTTTGTGGGTCACGATTAGAAGCATTCTGCAGTTTTATACGAGTCCATTTACATTTATACATGGCATTTAAATTTCTCTGACTGTGAACAGTTCTGTATTCATCATAATTTTCAGAAATCAAAAGCAGAATATTAGGCAGACACACATGCACACCTGTATTAAGAATAGTTGTAGTAGAAGTAGCAGTATTAGTATTGGTTTGTGAAATATGGGTCAGTTATTAATTCTAGTGAAGGGGCAAAATGAAATTTTATGGTAGGAATAATATGCACAACTGACAGATAATTTAAAGTTGTATGTATTGGTTATTTAAAAATCTAGAAAAGTATGGAAAAAAGTGCAGTGTGGTTTCCTCTACTGTGTTGATTTGTCATCAACATATAACCTGATAAAGACAAGACTTTGCTGTATAGTCAGGTTACAGATGAAGGAACAAGGAAAGAAGACTGTTACTTTGATTTTTAAATATTGTGTGTTCTTCTTCTCCTTCTACATTGCAAAGTGCAAGCTTGAAGTCTCTATTGTACCTTGCATTCAGTTACTCCATTTTGTATTTTATCAAAGTAGATGCACCCTTTAACAGTTTTCTCAAAAACTGTATAATTTCATTTACCTATGCTATGAGGTTTCTCATGAATTCAGATGTATCCATTGCAGAACATTTGTTAATAATTTTGCATGTTGTTTTTCAGACACATTTGGTGGTAACGTTGGCTTGGCTATATCTCAGTCTCTCATCCTGAATGGGATGCTACAGCATGGTATGAGACTCACTGCAGAAGTTGTAAATCAGATGACTTCAGTAGAACGAGTCCTTGAATACACGAAGATTGAAAAGGAAACAGATCTTGAGACACATCCAGGCAAGTTAGTTAACCTTTGAGTCAACTCTTAGTTACCCCCTGAGCTTGATCTATGATGTCTTACCCTTTCTGGCATATGAATACTCTTCCAGTGCCAGGTATAATGGAATTTGAACAAGGACACCTCTGGCAGAAACTTTCATAAAACTGAATTACATTTACTCTGAGACTAGCCATAAGCCAGATCAGAGATGAAGCCCTAACTTAGGACTGCTACTTGATCAAGGCTATTAAAGACCTTATGAGGTGATGTCATGAGTATGGAGCAATGGTGAAATGATGGTTAGCAACAGAAAATTAAAGAACTAAGGGAAAAACTAGTGATCTAGTGCCACTTATCCACTACAGACCTTTCTTCAAGTCAACTGGGTTTGAATGCAGATCTCTGTCATGAAAAGTCTTAGTTATGGCATAGCCACAGTATGTTTCATGGTATTGTTAAATCATATGAAATGTCTTTATTGCAGATCAAAAGCCACCAACTGGTTGGCCAGCAAATGGCAAGATTCAGTTTGACCATATGAATCTGAAGTATTCTTCAACTGACCCTCCAGTACTCAAGGACCTTAACTTCACCATACAGCCTGCACACAAGGTATGCAGATGTGTGAATGATCTCTTTTCACACTGCATTCTACAAACCTGTGTTATGTCTATACCACCCACATGTCTGGTATCACAACCCATAATCTAAACTCTAACTGCAGTGAAAACTTAAAAACTCATATTGGTCTATAAATGTTAGGTTGAAATAAACACTAAATTTAAGAAGTATTGGGATAAGTTAAGATACAATTAAAAGAAGTGAAATGCCATATAGTCTCTCAGACTTTATAATACTTTGTTTTAATAAACACTGTTCCCCTATTGGACAGATTTAATTGTGGACATTAAGGAAAAAAGCTGCATCACAAAAAATCACAGCTTTTAATCACACATCAGTTAACCCACTGACTCTAAAATTATGAAATAAAATTTATGATTATGAAAACAAAATACAGATTAGCCCAGAAAATTATTTTTTGAAATACGTGTTCATTCAACAAAGTGTAATTATTTTTTTTAAACTAAAATTCATAATACTTTGTTATTACTCACATGATAAGCTAAACCTCACTTCATTAGTATACCAAAGGGGATGTCTATTGGGCTCTGAAGTATTTGTATGTTCAGTTTTGTATTGTAATCCTCAAAACATGAATACACACTTAACATAACCTCACACTGTGCATGACTGAACATGGTTTATGTAACCCTTCTGCAAGAGTCTTGACTTTGTTAGGCCAGTACTGTTTGTGACTGGCCTCCAGCCCTGCTAGTTGTAGCTGTAGGGGTTGGCTGGCCTCTCTGTTGCAGTGCCATTTGAACAGTATCTTGATATGTTCATTTTTTGCAGGTAGGAATCGTTGGTCGCACTGGTGCAGGAAAATCATCACTCATATCAGCATTGTTTAGGCTAGCCCGCCTAGAAGGAAATATCATAATTGACAATATTGATACAGCAAAACTTGGCCTGCCATACTTGCGCAGTCGTCTTTCAATTATTCCACAGGAACCAGTTTTATTTTCTGCAACTCTACGAGACAATCTTGATCCTTTTCATGACTTCCCTGATGATGTACTTTGGAGATCTCTTGAGGATGTAAGTTGTACAAAGGATTTCTCTTGTGTGTTTTGAGCATTATAGTTGTGCCAAGAAGAGCATATTCCATGTGTTTCATTAAATATTTATGTTTGAAGAATATTTTGAGTGGGACTACATTACAGAAAGATTACAGCATATCCGTACACACATTTTTTCTAATTAGAGCTCTCTGTAATTGCAGGTTGAGTTGAAAGAGTCTATGAGTAGCTTAGATTTATTTGTCAATGAGGGTGGAAGCAACTTCAGTGCTGGACAACGGCAATTGGTGTGCCTGGCTCGTGCCATTATCAGGAACAGTAGGATCTTGGTCTTGGATGAAGCAACTGCAAATGTTGATCTCAAGTATGTTTCCAATAAATATTCATACAAGATGGGTTATGGGGTTCTGCAGTGTAGGTTAATTTGCAATGTAAAGAGATCTTTTCAATAATGCCAAGCAAATATCATTTAAGTGCCCAAGACAGATACATGTCTGTACAAATTGGCCATGTTAAAACTGAGAATCCAATTTATGCTTTCCGAATGATAACAGATGTTTTCTGATATAACTTAACAAAATGGCATTCTCTGAACTGTTTGTGTAAAGTGCAAAAGGTATGTATTCTGAGTTTCTCACAGAAATGAATATGTTAAGTTGGTCTTCTGGGTTGTAACAATGTGTGGACTGAGGTCCTGTATCTACAACCCAGAGCATCACTTTTGCCATCTTTTCATTACACTTTGGATGTTAGTGATTTAAGGAATTGCATCTATTCAGTGACATTAAAGTGGTGAAATAACTTTCTCTTATGTTAATATGCCCAATTAACCTTCATTGACCATGATCACGATGTGCTGACAGCACTTCTGCATTGCTTGTCACATTTTGGTCCAGCTGAATATTATTTTCAAGCATGACATGGTTGTTTTCACAGTCACATTGTGATTGCAGCACTATGAGACAAGCTTTGCACTCAATCAGACCATCTGTATGAATAGAACAACTCAAGATGGCTTAATGAATATTCATAAAATTTGATATTTTGGAGATTTATTAAAATTTATGCCAGCCCTTGAAACATCTGTTTTGCTGGGTTTTTTTAAAAGTACATGTACACTGAATGAAAGAGTGAACAATTTTTTGTTTCAGTCGTCGTTTGCACAAAGCAGCATGTATAAAAATTAAAATCATAACTTATCTTTGTGATTTTATGTACTGCAAATAGTGATTACCAAGGTAATGTTAGAAGGAACACCTAATGATTAATCAATGCATTTTCATGAATCGCCAACCAATCAACCAACTAACAAACACTGCTTATTGTCTAGATACATAGTATTTTAATCAGAATATTTTTATAAATACACAAACATGTTACATCAAAGGTTAAGTACACTCTGATCAGCAGTTCATTGAGGTAGGTTTTGCTAGTTGTTTTATCATGAGGCATGTACATAAGGTTTATGACAATCTGACATTATTACAGAACAGATGCCTTCATCCAGGGAACCATCAGAACAAAATTTAAGGAGTGCACAGTACTGACAATAGCTCACAGATTGAACACAGTCATGGACTCTGACAGAGTTCTTGTCATGGAAGCAGGCATCATGGTGGTAAGAAAGACAGAATACTATTTTCACAAAAATATCATGTCAGTGTCAAGTAGTCTTTGTCATGATAAATCATAAAGAATAATTTCCTTCATTTTCCATTGTCATCATCAGCTTAGTAGTTTGTTCCCATTTCAGCAGGGATCTCCTGGAATAGGTCTCCCCATCTTTTCATAGTTATTCCCTTCAGAGGATTTGGAATATTTATGGGAATTGAAGTCTCTCCATTCATTCCACATGATCTTGCCACTTCTTTTCATAAAATGGTTATGTAAATGAATAATTGCAGTGTTTTTCTATAAAAGGTTATATTTTATACATAGTTAAACAAATGGCACCAAGTCAAGTAACTGATTAACTTTCATATATTTAGTATTTTAACCCTCCATACACAATTATTTTATGTAATCTTAATGTTACAGAATTAGTCACATACAAGACTTTCATACACTCACTAATCACTCATTATGAACGTAGTAGATTTCTGACATACTTTTTTTACTGGTAATGGACGATTAATATATTTATCCAGCAGTAAGATTTCTTTTATGAACATGTCTGTCATCTGGGACATTACATTGTGCAGTTTCGTAGATATTGACCAACATTGCAGAGGAGCTTATTGCCTCATCATCAGGTCATCATTCATATATATTGAACTGCAGGGTAGAAGACAGCCATCTTCATACTCATTGCCATGAGAACCTGAAATATAATCAGAACCACCCTATACTTGGATATATGTCTTAGCTTGTAAACATGTTTATTGCCAATTTACAATGATCTATTTGAACTTGAACAGTGAAATTCGTTTACATTGTAGGAATTTGACCATCCACATATACTACTGCAGAACAAGGAAGGCCATTTTTACAAAATGGTTAAAGAGACAGGGAAAGCCATGGCTGAGCAACTGCACAAAGCAGCAGAAGAGGTAAGTTGTCATGCAAATAAAATCTTTTTTTATTGTTCAGAAATTTTACAGATATTGTTTTCATTGTAATATACAGTATATTATGTTCGGAAACAGGCACATTCAAATTTAATAAAAGAAATAGCATTTTGAGTCATGCCCTATATGTATGTATCATACCATCAATAATATAAGTTGTTCTAAAGCTAATGTAGCCCTTAATTTATTTAACATTAACACTGCTTTGAATAGTATGTGCAATTTTCATATTATGCAGGATTGAAGACTTGCTGGCTTTGCTGTTTGATTTTATGATGTCCATGTAAGAAAACATTTGCACAGAATATTTGAATACACATTTGTTTATTATTTTTTTGGCATTTAGTAAATACATTCCAAAATTTGAATATAACTTGTCTTTATTATTTAATATAAACTGTGTTGGTAATTTTATGTTGTTGTGCTAGAGAGGGTTTCTGCTATTTTGCTGTTTTATATTTGGTATCAAGCTTCTGAAACATTCTCTTAGTCCAGGTGCTTTCAGTTTCACTTCTCCCTAAATTTATTTGAACATAAACTTTAGTT